CGTGGTCGACCGCGATGAATCGCCATGCGGCGTGGCTTTTGACACTTTCTTATCCATCTGACTCTGCCAGAATGACTTATTCTGCGGGTTGTGCAGGCTGGTGTTGATTGACAACACCTTCGGCAGTGACGACAATCGCCTACATTGCGACGTCGGCGAGAATTTATTGCATCGGTCACACCAGGCGGGTGTGACTTGATCGTAGTTGAGACTACGCTTGAGGATCTGACAGAATGACCAGTAATCGCGGTCGGGTTCACTTGTGGGATAGTTGAGATTGCACGGCATAAGCACGGCTTCTTTACGCACCTCAAACTTACACTTTAGACAAGTATTGATCAACCATTGTTTCATGGCGAATAACTGATGAATTTCAGTGACATCTTCGTTACGATCTTCAGGGGATACGGACCTGCATCTGGATGTCCTGCAGCAGCTGCGGCGGCAGCGGCTGCAGCAGCCGCTGCAGCGCGTTTTGCATGCCCACCGCTTAGTATTGTCGGAAAGTCGATTTCTTTGTAAACAAACGGTTTACGCAGATTCTTACCGTCATCTTTTAGCTTCCGCAGGGTTTCCAGGAGTTCCATGTCCATCTGATGCAGGATAAATCTGTTCCAGCATTGGATAAGCATACCGAGATCCACGCGTTGTTTCGCATCGGCGTGCATATCGCTTAGGATTAATCCAAGCGCGGATGCTTCTGGCACTGTACGAAAAGCGCGCAGGAAATTACTCGGCTGGCAAGGCGTCAGCGTTTGATTGGCGATCATGTGGAAGAGAAAACCGAGCTCGCACGATAAGCAGAACTCTTTCTGGCAGATATGTGAGAGGAGCGTGGCACGCAGCGGCTCAATATAATACAAAACCTGCAAAATATCACAAAAACTTGAAATTTAACATTTTTACTTATTTTAAGCACCGTACCTGTATCATAGCGTTACAGTATGCGTTTGGCAGGATGGCTTCAAGACCAGCGAACTCAGTTTTGTTGTACATGTCGAACTGGAAGTCCTCGACGCCCAGTTTATTGTACTTCAACTCGACGCGCCGATACCGCTTGGGAATGGCGACGAACACGCCAGTCTCATCAGCGGCCGCCATCTTGGTATGAATACGCTCGGCGTAGCTCTTCTTCTGCTTGGGTATGGCGCCGCCATTGCTGTTCTCGAGGTTGTACGTTACCTAACAGAAAGTTAGTGTGAGAGGCGGAGGGCGCGGTGAGCGCAACCAAGTATTGCCTAACAAATATTTATTCTCGACGAATAACAACAAAACAAAAGTAAATTCATATAATACTGAATGTGATATCAAAAAAAAGAAAAGAGATTCTCCTGGAGATTGGTTGGAAGATGCTCCCTAATAGAAAAATACTGAAGATAAAGTATGTAGAAGTCTATTTCTCACTTGATTGCGGCGCGTCTCCTTTGGGTTGGGTGCGTAGCCAATCGGACCCTGCATTTTCATCGTGCGAAGAATTTCTGGATCTATTGCCGGACTGCGTCTAAAGTATCACATTTAATATTAATTTTGGGGTTTAGAATGAATTTCTACGTACCTATAACAATTCTCCATTAAATTCTGTGGCCAATCAGAAGCCAAAGGCGCATCATCTCTGATTGGCATAGGAATCGACGAAAATGGCGCCTCGTATTCATTCACCGACATGTTTATCATCGGTGCGATGACATCCGCATGCTCGGTGAGTCGTGAGTAAGTATTGAACACAGCCCGCGGTTGTGATCCAAAGAGATGAATCGATCCAGTGCTGTCACCGAACGCCAAAGACTGACTGGATGTGCTTATATCAAACGACAAACACATCGCGCCCGGGTTTTCCATCTGCACGAGACACAAACGGGGCTCAGTGAATGCAACAGTATCAAGCAGTTGTAATTGTCCAGCAGCCGAGACCACAGCAAGCCGAGAGGATCCCAACGGCAGGAAACGCAAATACATTGGATCCACCACAGTCTGGATGGGATTCACCGCTCGCATCATCCGTAAATCATACACGCGCAGAAATCGGTCGACGTTGAGCAGTCCCTGGCGGTTGCTGAAGCCGCAAGTGACTAGCAGATTGCCCTGCACGTCGAAATCGCTCAGGTTGCCGCTGTGGGTGTCGAGCGTGTGCTCAATGTTCATTGTGTTCGGATCGCGTAGGTCAATACGGCCCAGCGCATTGCCAGCGCACACGAAACGACAATGAGCTCGCAACATTGCACAGCCAGCTTCACCTACTTCAATCTAAGTAAAAAAAAAGAAGAAAAATCAATTAAACAGCGAAAAATGAATTTTTTTTTAAATTTCATACCAGTTTTGTCTCTTGGCCAACCCCTATATTATAATCGATGAGTTTGTCTTGATGTCCAGCGAGTAACAGACGTGTCGGGGACATTTGCAGCATACACTGCATCTCAGTTAGATTATCAGAGCTAAAAATTTCAATCACTCCACTATTAATTTTGCGTGACAAAAGAATTGGCAGTAAAATCAACTGTCAAATGTGTTTATATCAACAAACAAATATAAATATTCGATAGAATAAGTCATGCATTAAATAAATGAAGCATAAACATGACTTTTAAATGCTTTTTTTCATGCATGATTGATTTGTAAACAAAAACATGTCATGTTTTGTGAATCATTGTTAGAAACAAACTTTTAAAACACTAAAAACACTTACGTATGTGAAAATATCGGTATACCCCGCCGTAACTGGTATCTGAGTAGACTTCCAGACAAAATCAGCACACCATGATCCAATGCAAGGATCTGTCGAATGTCTTGACTTGGATGCACTTGAAACGAAGTGTATTTCTGAAGGTGTGATGTGTAATAGCTGGTGATATGCCCCTAGGAGAATCTCAACGTTAATCTGCGCGTTATTTCTGTGAGGAAATCATTCATACTCCCTGATTGCCCATCCAGAGGAGTTCTTCGTGCTGGTCAAAAGCCAATGCACACACACCAAATCGCTCACCGCCGTCGGCGAGGATGCACTCCATCTGGACATACTCGTTGTTAATGCCCGTCATGCACTCGGCACCCTCGGGCTGCCCGACCATCGCCAGCTAGAGAAAAAAACAAGCAAATTTTCGATTGTACTCAATGTTATTGAGTGTGTTGAGGTTAAAACTGTGTCGCGATTGGAAAACAATCGCTGGTACTTACACCGCTTTGATCGAAATACATTTCGTGTGGCAAACGTACTCAATCCCCCGATGTTTAAGGTGTTTGGGGGCTCATCGAAGCCGCACGTGCTGACCGCGAGCCGCCGATCCGTCGCCGACCAGCGCTGGTGATCGAATGAAGGCGAATCAAACGGACAGCAGCCGACCAGCACCAACCGAGGGAGGAATTGGCGCGCTAAAATACTGTTGACTCATCAATGCCCTAAATTCGAGCGTGTGCGAAACTGCAAAATACGCTTACCTGATCGAATCAGCCGAAAGAAACGCACGGTGAATTTCGGATTCGCACCGAATTCAACTTGATGCGGTTTATACACTACACCTGTTTGCACTTGCAATGTTTGTAATCACACGCACGTGCGTACAGCAAGCAAGTTAATTGAGCATGCATTAAAAGCGTCGAATTCTATTTTATCTGTCATGTGAGTTGAGAATTACAGTCGATGACATACCTTGTTTGATTGTTGTTGAAACAATTTGCGAAACTTTCGTAAACAAATTTGATGTGAGGTGCGCGAGTCGTGCGCGCTGCGAAGCAATAGTTCCAATTTTCGATACGCAAACATGAAGATGGCGCGGTTGTAAACAAACCGCTTGATTTTGTTGTGTTTCCGGCCAGTGCACCGCACACTTTGCGCATAGTTTCGCTGTCATGGGTTACTGTGATGAGTTTATTACTTGTGATTCATTTATTAACATAAATGCAGCTGAACCGTGCAACAGCAGATGAACAACTAACTGTAAGTACTAAACTTTTGTTTCTTATACTTTTTTCTGCTTATTTGTGTTGTTTTATTATGAAATTGTTGAAAATTTACTTGATAACTGTTCGGCGCCATTTCCTGTGGAGTTTTTTTTTTGATTTTACTGAGCTTTTGATTAATATTTTGATGTTTAACAAAGTATAATTTACTTTGTGCGTATTATTATTCGTTATTACGATGAGTATTCTCGGTTTTGTAGTGTTTTGCATTGTTTTGCATAGTTTGCAACGCTTGCGAAAAGTTTGCAGCTGCGTTAACCTGTAAAAGAAAAACATGCGCAGATGCATTAAATCTGCAACGTGTTTTGCTGTGTTTACAATCGTTTGATTTTGTTGATTTTAATTAATAACAAAGGAATTTTACTGAGTTTAACTTGTATGAATCGTGGCACGGCATAAATTTAATGTTTTCTGCGTGCGTTTTCCTCGATGATTAAAGTTTGACCATTTGAAGTCTTTGACAGTTCATTTTGTTGATGAGGACACTTTCAGTGAACTTAAAAGGCTGTTTTGTTCATTTTTTGCTCTTTTTATTCTTTTGTTGGTCCAGAGGATGCAATTCCTGTTTATTGATTGAACGCAAAGTGCACTTTCCTCCCTGGGGGCAGATATCTTACCTGTTTTGTAAGCATTCTCAATATCCTGCTTCTATTTGACCCATAGTAAAGCGTAGGTCCGAAATTTTTCCTCTTTTGGGAATTGAACTTACACCTGCTGCGTACCAAGCAGTTCCTATAAACAATAGACCATACTCTGCCTTCTCTTTTGGTACATACAATACCAACACTTAAATTATACTCTTCTCTCCTTTAAAAATGGCCGCGCGTCTTGAATCCAAAGGACTATCACTTTGAGATCAATTACAAGGACACAGAACACTCCTTTGGTGTTAAAAATGAGTAAGATCCCTAGAATAGATAGAAATTGATGAAAAGGGAAGAGAAACTTGATTCTGTAGATAAAAACTTCCAACTACAAGCAAAGGATCAAAGGAGATGAATGAAGGAGAATTGAATGTGGTCATTTCGACCAATGACGCAATGGCGTTTTCCTTGACATACACTTTATATTGAAATATGTTCTTTATAACCTAACATTTTCAAATAATCTGTTTCCGTCGCCTGCAATTCCATCGTTTTTTGTTTTTATATGCTTAATTTAATATTATCATGAAGACTGCATTGTTAATTTATTTCTCACCCTTTTCGCGCTGCGCCAGTGCATGCCGCCAACGGCGAATAGGAATATCGTTTCATTTCTCTCTCTTATTTCTCTTATTATTTCTTATTTTTTTTTTGCGTTTTTGGTTTAGTGTTTCTTTTAGTGTAGCGTTCCACCTTTTGCACGTTCCGTATATGAAAGCTTAATAAAGTTTTTACTCTGTTTAGTTTATTCTCAATTTTTTTTTTTCACTTTTTGCCGTCAATATAGACATTTATTTTATTCTTTAAAATATCCTCTCATATATTCGCCTCTGTGTTAGTTTTCTCTTGTTCACAAATTTTTATAGTTTGTTCGTTTACTCTGGTTTCGGTTATCTCCATTCTGCTAAGGCATCTAAAAAATTCTGTACGCAGATCGAATGCAATAATTGAATCAACATTACAACCATTTGTTCGCGTCGCCGCCGACTGGGTAGGTCCAGGGGTTGGGTGTGCGAATGACTTGTGATCGTGTATTTTACCGCCGCCGCCGCCCCCCAGACGCTCAGCCAGCGGCTAATTCAGTGAATGCAAAATCGAGAACGAGCACGAGAAACGCTCAAGCAAAAACTCGCATACGTCATATGTAACTCTCCGAAGTAAAAAAGCAATTTAATATAAATCAGTTGTACATTATAAACTTACGATAATTTTATAATTAGAAAAATTAACTAGGCACACTAGGTCAACATTATAATAAATAGCAAATAGTTAATTTATTTCGTTCTCTATTTACGTTTACTTTTACTCAAATTTTTGTAGGTTTTTTTTTTGTTCTTTGTGTGTATAGTTTTATTGGTTTTTTTTTTAGTTTGATGGTGGGCGCTGCCACGCTTCTTGTTCGCACACACAAGAATACACTGAAGTAATCAGCAATCTTTTTCATTACACTGCGTCGTATTCAACCTTAGCACACACCAAACTGATTTTGGTCGTTTATACTCATAGATTGGTTGCTTTGGTTACCACTAACGCATCTTAGAAAATAAATAAATACTGTTTTCGTTGTGCCACCGACAATCTACATCTGCAATCATTTTCTGAACGAGATGATTCGGCTTCCTGCCGCCTCGCGATTACAAAACGTAACGAAACAAACCACAAGGACGGTCAATAATTTGTATAAAGTAGTCAACGTGATTTTTCTTCATTTTCTTCAATTTTTTCTTCTTTCTTACTTAAACAGAACAAATTTTTAGTAGGCGTGTGTTTTATGTGTGAATCCTCGAATGCACACTTAAGCCGCATCTTTGATAGTTGATTGTACGAATTCAAAATTCGGTTGACTACTCGTGTTTGTGTGTTTTTTCTTCGTCTTCATCATCGCCAAATCAAACTCATAATTGTTGATATGTGCCATCACAATCGAGTAAACCGGAAAAAAATTCATCTCATCATATTTACCTAGTAATTATTATCTATTATTTATTAGAACACGACGATTGTTCTCATATTCCTTCAATTTTTGCTCTCGCTTCTCTTTTTGTTTACTTATTTAAAGCATAGATTTCTCTTTTAGTAGTTTTATTATTCGCTAATTTGCTTCTTACGTCTTACGTTTTTTTTTTTTGACATTGTTTATTTATAATTATACTTTGTACTAACAACTGTTTAATTTAATGTGTAACATTATATAAATTATTTACGGCTCTTTCCCTTGCATTGCTCGCATTTGTCACACTCGCTCGCCTCTCTCGCTTCAGCGTCTGCGCACATCTCTTCACTAACAATAACAACAAATATAACATTGAGTAGTTTTCTTCTTTGTACGCGTATAATTAATTATTGTATCTCATTTGATTATTTAATTATACAGTTATAAACGTTTACGTGTCTGGTTTGCTTCTAGCCAGCGGTGTATGCGCATAATGAGAGACGACTTCGGTGGCACCACTCAAACTGTCCACAGTTACTTTTCGTTTCTGTTTTTGTTTCTGCGTTCGTTTAGCGCACAGATTTGTTCGTTTATGGATGAGAGTGCAGGTGTCGCGGGCGCGAGGCGTGGAAACAGCGCATGCGCGACGATTGCGACGCTGGAAGTGATTGTTTCGTTTGATTTTTGTTGAATTTGTTGTTTGCGTCGGGTGGTGAGGATATGTCCGATCGACTCGCGCGCAATCGTCGCTTGTGCGCGTTCCGCACGCCTCTCGCCATCGTCGCGGTGCACCTGCGGTCGGCGTCGAGATGCTGCTGCTTAAATAAATATCGCGATCGAGAACTACTGCCCGAGCTGCAGCGGGCTGAGCACGATGCCGCTGTGATGCGCCTCGGGCTCGCGGCGCGGCTCCACGACGATGATGGCGTCGTCGCCGGCCGTGGACGTGGAGGCGGCGAGATTAGCAGGCGCGCGGCCGCGCGTATGCTTCGACTCCTTCGGCCGGCACTCGATCTCGATGACCGTCTCCGACTCGTAGCTGGAGATGCTCTGCAGGTCATAGACGGCCGCGTCGAGATGGTCCAGCTCGATGAGCGAGTCGACGCGCGGCGGGCCGGCGCCGTCGTCGTCGTCGTCCGGCACCGTGATGATCGGTATGAGCGTCTTTGTGTCCGCGTCCGCGTTCACTGGCGCCAGCATTGGCGCGCGCTCCGCGTCCTGGAAGTCGGCGGCGCTGGTGCCCGGCACTGGGTGGCCCGCGCCGCCCGTCACGATGGACACTTTCTTTTTATGCTTCTCGAACGAGGTCGAGGCGTGCGTAGTCCTCGGATGGCATGCGTCCGCCGAGCGGTCGCGCGTCAGCGGGCAGCGGCTCGCGGATCCACCGTGATGGTGGTGCGGGTGCGGATGCGCGCCGCCCCCGCCGCCGTGCGGGCACACGTTTTTGAGGCGCGCCTTCTTGCGGCCGCGCAGACACGTCGACGGGCACGCACAGAGCAGCACGCGCACCAGGCAGCAGAGTAAGCCGCACGCGACCAGCGTGGGACCGATCAGCCGCAGCTCCAGCGTTTTGAAGCCCTTCTCGCCGGTGCCGACGAAGAAGATGACCGCGCCGATGGCGACCGTGCCGAGCCCGACGTAGAGCAGTGCATTGGCCGCCGCGCTCTGGTGATACACGTCGAAGAAGTCTTCCTCTTCGCTGCTCCCGCCATATGTCGTGTCGTGGATCTACCAACCAGTCAAAAATCACCACAAAAAAAATTTAATTTCTATTTTATAAAAAATTTTAAACTTTAGACTCACCCGATTTCTTTTCATCCATCTGTGATGCGCCTCGTTCTGCTTGAGGCGATGCTGTCGCGCTTCGTCCGAGAGGGAGCAGCGTCTCCCCCGTTCCCGTTCTTGCCATGCTGCCCGACCCTGCGAGCACTGCGGGCACACAAAAACAAATTAATCATCTCAACAGGTCCGCGCCACATTCGTCAATCTACGAAACAATTCGACGCGCAGCGAAACTTTCCCGTTGCGGAAAGTGCCAAGTCTGCCTACAACGAATTAATCATCTCAACAAGTGCGAAGTGAGAGCGAGCGGAACAAACAACCGCATTTCAGCCCCCCTCGCCGGTCTTAATACACTCAATCGAATTATGAAGACAGAGAAACAACTGCACACGATTTATCAATCTCGCGTGCGAAAAACGACGGCCCGCGACTTAGAGGTCGCATAAATAACTCCCCAATCGATATCGCCGTGTTCACGTGTCATCATTGCGCGCCATCCAATTGGAAAAATTGCTTTAAATTATTGCTGCAACAAATTGCTACCTCTCGACACCCGAGACGGCATAAACACGTTATCTAGGGCATTAGATTACAATTGTCTGGATGAGTTGTAAAATGCGCGAACTTCCGTGAACAAAAGCGCAGCGTTCCGGTGGAAATGATTATATCTAGCCGCCCCCGGCGGCTGTTTGTGAGACAAAGCTATGCAAATAGCCTGTGCGCCGCGCGGAACGGATGCACGTGCGGCCCGCCGCTGAAAATCGATGAACGAATTATGCACGTCAAATACCTAATAATCAGTCCGGGCCTGTCGCGTGTTGTAATGAAGCATTGATGAGTTGGCGCGGGGATTTCCTATTTCACAGCGAACAAAGTCAACAATAACAATAATGTTTGTTATTCTGGATTTTGGTAGAAATCGCGCGTTGGAAATACATTTTCCCGCGAAAGGTAAATATCGCTTAGATTTCTGAGTAAACATCTCTCGGACACAAGATGGCTGACCTCCCGCGCGCGCCCGTCCCGGATAAGACGGATCGATCATATTTCGCGCTGTCGTTCGGAAATGTCGCAATTCCGATTCAACAAGTCCGCGCGCGCGAGCAAAAACAACAAAGCGTACACGTTTTCCGGCAGCGAGCGCGCGCGCGCGCTTCTGTCAATATCACCACTGTTACACTGTACAAGATTTACTTTGATATCGAAACGCAGTGTAACGTTTTGTTTGCCCCGGCTTTTTCCAACCACGCGGTCGCGCTTTGTTTGCCAGTCGATGAAAAATCCCGAATGGGATTATCTCCGATTGGAAATACGCACGCAATCGCTCAATTAACAAGACGACTACACTGAAATCTACTTTGCCCGGAGATATCTGCGTGGAGTTTCGTGATTAATGAGCGCCGAGCTCAACAGGTAACACTCGATGCGAGATTCTAGGCCAGAAGTGCATCATACGCATCGAGAATAAAGAAAAATTTCTAATCGAAATAAGTCCACAGTCCCACAACAATTTCTGCGTTTGAAGAGGCAATTTATTACATATACGGCGCGCTGGGACAAGTCGCCGGTCGGTGGGTCAGTCAGATCGGGGATCGATTCGTGAATGGCGGAGGCGCCTGCATCGGCCGAGCGTCGCGACGCGTTTAAAAACGCATTAGCGCTCTCGTAAACACGCTCGCACTGTTGTCCTACCTTGTTGGCGCTGCTACTGCTATAGGGGAGGGGGTTGGAGGGTGGTGGCGGCATGCGAGTGGCACGCCATGACCTGATTTCGACGCCGGGAGTTGCAGGACAATTCTGATCAAAAAGTTATTACAAACATGCCATCAATAATAATTGAAGTTTAAGTATCCGTTTAACTCGAACTACTTCACAACCAGGCCCTGCGTGGCCTGCTTCTGCGTCTGCTTGCCAACTGACAGATTGTAATTAAGTGGCAGCGGCGAGGGTTCAACAACATGCGCTGCAAAATGCAAACAAGAAAAAACGAAAAAAAATCGCTCGGCGCAATTTACGTGATGACACACTGGTGGTGGAGGCGCCGGGCCGTGTCGTGTGATGCCATTACCTAATACAGCAGGTAGGTTTGGCGGGTTGAAGAATGAGGGTTAGTCACACCAGTTACGCTCGTATCGCGCAATTAATCTTCGCTCGGCCGCACCGCACCTACACCGCGTGTCTTTGACACAGATGTCCGGCGAAAAATCGCCGGCGAGCGTATGTTGCGCTTTGTTCATCCACATTGCTTTTTTGCCTTGGCGCTCGACATTGTCGCAGATTAGGACACTGGCGGGACACATGCGAGCTCCACTTTAAATGCGCCGCTTTAATTTAAATGTCGCGCTCGCATGCGGCGATGCAGTCACGACAAACACGAGTTTGATCGACCCGCCCGCGGCGCCCGAAATGTCAATTGTCACGTGAGGTCGTCCTTTTTTTATGGATTGAATCGGACACTCTCCGAAATTTCAACGAAATGTAATGTTTTCCACATAAACACACACGCAAAACGCGATTACATTGACTTTCCACGGAATTTTTAAATTAATTTCAAACTTCTGGTGGTTTTAAATTATAAATAACCGGTAGTTTTATGAAAAAAAAAGTTTTTACGTAATTAATATGCGCAGAGAGACAAATACACTTATTTCGCACACGAATTTTTTACAACTTTTGTTAATTAATAACGCCTCGCGAAAACATTCAACTGCTTGGTAATTATATTAAAACTTTGTTTATATTTAATGAATCACTTTTAAAGTGCAAATTAAACCACCTGTTTAAAACATGCATTACGTTTGCGTTGTTAAAATCAGTTAAATTTGAATTTGCGATGTGGTTTGGTGGTTATTTTGAGGGTGAGGCCCCGTGTACATACCATGAACCCCGAAGGGAACTGCGGGAAGGGCTCGATCTCCCTGGTGGCGACGTGGCTGGGCAGGTCCGCTCGCCGCCTCTTCTTGCGAAGACGCTGCTTCTCCCTGATGAGTAGCGCCGCTTGCATGCCTGCGGATGCCGCGGTGCTCATCCAACGCGCATCGTCGTCTCCGGCCGCGCGAGCACACTAGCTGCCGCCGACGGTGGCGGGTGGCGGCAAAATTAACAACACGCGGCGAGCTGAGTATTCGTGTCTTTCGTGAAAACACGCGCGACGCGCGTTGTTTTTTACATTCTTCGGGAAAAAACGGTCGCGCGCGCTCGGACACCGCACGCTATGCGCGCGTGTGTGGGACGGGGGGCGGCGGGGAACAGTCTTCAGCCGGTCGTCATATTCGACACATTGTCGTCGCGTTCGCGATTAGAGATTTAGCGATTCGTCGTCGATGGTCGTGTTTAGTTGTTTATATTTAAATGTTCATCAAATATATATTTATATAGTATACGCGTGTATAATAGAGAAATATATTTCTATATATTCATATATATGTTAGATATATAGTGTATATAATTTAAGAAAATTGTGTATAATGTATAATTTCATATTTTAAACTCTTTGTGTATATGTAAAAAGCGAAGGCAGATTTTTTCATTTTGTTTCTTTTTTTGTGTTTGTTGTTTTTTTGTCTAACGTTTAATTTGTTTCTCTCTAGTAGTTTTGATTCGATCACTTCGATGCCGTGAGAAGTGCGAGCACAGCGTGCCCTAAGTGTGGCTCAAAAGATATCCAAAGAATAAAGATCAAAGAGATATACGCGCGTGATTTTTTTGGTTTGTCAAGCTTACAACCTTGCGATACTTGCGGCAAACTTGTTGCGGTTCGGTTTGATATGTGCTGAGAGTACTTAGCTCCGGTGTGTGTTCATGTATTATTGTACTGGTCCCTAGGTGGGTAGTCGTGGCGCGACCGCATGCCCGCGGTTGTGCTGCTGCTGGTCGTCTCGGCGATGTCGTCTTCGGCTCTTATCCCGGGTCGAAGCTGCTCTTCATGGTGGTGGTGGTACGTGCGCGGCCTCGGCAGCCGCCACCGCGTGCATTCGAGTGCGCCGCTCGCTCGAAACTGCGCTCCGCTGCGAACCGCGCGTCCGGCCGCGATCGTGATTCATCGAAGCGCGCGCGGTCCGACGAGCATTTCGGTCTCTTGCTGTCACCGGCTGCAAGAGAGAAATCGATAGGGGTGGTGGTGGTTCGAAAGCGAAACCGCGCACAGCAGCATTCGCACGGGGCCACCACACACACGCTTTCTTTCTTCACCGCTGCTTTCTTGTGAGGCGGGTGAACCAGTTAGCAATTACACAATGCGCTTAATCAATGTGCGAGGACGCTTAGCGTTTTGTTTTCCGCCCGCGGCCGCCACACGCATGTGGGGAATAATATTCTTTTCAACTGGGCGCGCAGTGCTATGCGGTCTCGGCCGCCACAACAACACACCATTTCGAATCAATATTAATGTATGTATTCGACATCCACTCTTGTTGATTTACTCGAATAATCAGCCGCCACGGTTTTGGGTCAGCTTTCAACACCAAATTTTAGCCACAATGGCGCCGCCACCGGCCACCACCGCAAATGAGGAAGTGGGCGCGACGGAATTACATACAATATTATCATTTTAAGCATTTTCGACTTTCACCTTTAAAACCCCGTTTTTCACGGTTTTAGACACAAAAACTTTAGCCATGGCTGTGACTAAAGTATTTTAGTCATGGGGTACATTTATAACTTTAAAATTTCCAGTAGTGTGCAAATGAACTTCGAAGTTTTAAAATACAAAAATTTCAACGTGAAAATAAAGTGAAATTAGAAATAATAGCTTAAGCATCACGTGGTTAAACGTAGTTAAAGTGCCACTTTGCGCACTTGACGCTTAATACACTATTAAAACATAATTTTTAATATTTTTCTACTTTCACCTTTGAAACGCCAGTTTTCCTCGGTTTTAAGACATAAAATGCGATATTTTAAACATCGACAGCCAAGACCGTGACTAAAGTACTTTAGTCACCGGGTCGATTTATAACCTACATTCTCCAGTAGTGTACAAACGAATTTCGAAGTTTTAAGATACAAAAACTCAACTACAACAACCTCCAACGATTGATTCAATCAATCTCGTGACAAAAGTGCCATTTAGCGCACTTGATACTCAAAATATTTATTACAACAAAAGTGAAATTTTATTTCGAAATAAATTCCAGTGCTGCAAATGTCACCGCAATGACATTTTTCATACCAAGATGTACGCGAGTAGTGCTAGTTGGCGTGCCGTAATGACGCCCGCCCCGGCGCTCGGCTTTTCGTTTCGTTAAGTGCGATGCGAGACCACCGCCATCGCAGCGGCGTTTAATTAGATATACGCCGGATAACGCTGAATTCGCCCCGGCGACGTACTTGACCTTTGCTGCTCGTTGTTTTCGCACTGTTTTACATCACAATATAAAAGCGGGCGTAATGGCCAGGCATGATATTTGTGTATGTACGCATCGCCACCGCCGACGTCAACGCGATGAGAATCGGCGCATGTTCATAAACATGCAAGCACATGCAATAAAAACACCGAATGCATGGCAGACAAGGAAAACACCGTGTGCGGTGGAACGTCGAAATTGTCCAAAAATGATATGATCATACACCGCGGCCGGAAACGCCATGTTCGTGTTTTCCGCGGCGTGTAATTAACTCGAGGGGTGGCTCATTTTTTCCTCCACCGTGGGCGGGAAAAACAGGGCGAGCCATTTCGCGGCGTGTGTAAGTAGCGGCGATCGCCATTCAGGCATTGAGCAGGAAATGAAATGCTGCGGAGTGACGACTGGCGGCGCGGAAAGTTCGCGCTCGTTAGCGCGATCGATTGCGCGTCGCGACGGCTTCATCGTGACTCGTAAAGTCTTATCAATGCGCACCGAAATTCTTCGGAACATACAATGCCCGCCAGTGACCATAAAAGTGTGTTTCGCGAGCAGCAGCAGCTCGCTGAGCGTGTAAGTAATGTCGAGGACAAACAGCGTTTTTCCATTTTCAGGCGGGCCGGTGGTATTGATTTCGAGTTTGGACGTTTGCGATGAATCGGTGCGGAATCGTGGCAATCGCAAAAGTTCTCCGCGTGTGATACACACCAAACCCCGCCGCCGAAAAATGCCAGCGATAGCAACTTTTACGATGCTTTGTTCCGAAACGCAGCGCACCGAAACTGAATTCATCACATTCCAGCGCACAGAAATGTTTTTCATTTTCTTCCACATCGCTGGCCACACAGAAAAACTAATACACATACGATTGCATTAATTAAAGAATACGCGGAATACCATTCTGTGTCTACGCTGCGCGCGAGGAGAGAGCGCCTCATAAATTATAATTAACAGCGCCACAGCGCGATTACACCTTTCATCCCCTTTTCACGGCGAGAGAAACAGCCAAACAGCAATTTGCCGCGTGTAATCCCGGGCGCGTTCATATGTGATGCGCATAATATACTAATTAGCGCCGAGCGGAAAAATAACCCACGCTGTCTGATTGCCCGACAAGGGTTGAATAAAGTATGACAGAGTGGTTGAAATGCTTGGAATTGTTGGAACACTTACGACCTCTAAACTACTTGTCATGCATGGTGTGCTACTTGGGTTGGTATAATACCTCGGAGAAAGGATAATCCAGGCTGCCGAAGACGTCGTACTCGGTGTAGAAGCCCGGATCGTGGTGGTCCCACGTCTTCTCCTTGATCTCGAAGTTGCACATGTGATTACATCGGTCCAGCACGCCCTTCTCACCATCCTTCTCTTCTTCCACCTGCCGCACGAAGCTACACCGCCGCTCGAGGGATTTATCACCCTCCGGGATGAGGATCTGCGGCAGCTGGTGGCTGACGACCGAGGGCGAACGTGGTGTGGCGGCCGCTGCCGCCGCCGCCGCCGCCGCAGCAGCAGCAGCAGCTGGACCATGCGAATGATGAAGCGCATGACTATGGCAATGACCATGCGATGGATGCACCGGCAGGCAGATCGAGGGGCTCTCCCTAATACGCGCTCTCGGTTCTTTCAGATGATAATTGGAGGTGCTGTGGCGGCGGTCACCAGTCGCGAGCGCCGCCGGCGGTTTGAGCGCGTTGCGTTCAACGCGCGACAGCCGCGGCACCTGCTCGTCGGTATAGTTATGGAACTGTCCCTTCTGCGGCGGCTTCGGCAGGATATCGCTGGCCTTGGACGCCTTCTGCGCGGCGGCCTTCTTGTTCTGCCGCTGCCGCTGGCGCGCCTGCCGACTGGCGAGGCTCGCGCCCCCGGCCGCCGCGTACATTGCACTCGACTCACTCCTCTGCCCTTTGTCCGCCCAGCATTGCGGGTGCGACCCCCAGCCCTGATATCATCCGCGCCGCCCGGCTGCCTACGCCACCGAATTGTGCGCGAATTCTTCTTCGATAAAAAACGATTGTGTATCTCTACGTGTCCAACAGCTGAGCCGTTGGCTGCGCTTGTAAAACCTATCAAACATCCATGCGTAAAAAAATAGAACGCACAATTACGAGTATCATATAATTCATAAGAGTATATATATATAGTTTCACAAAGATAAGTTTGCTTCTAGTTTCTGGTTTGCTCTTTGTTTATTACCCGCTTTGCCCGTGGTGTCTCGTGTGTTGTCGTATCTGGAGGTAACTCGGAAGGGGGGAAAACATTAAACAACAATGATTGTACCGCGTTTATGCTTCGTTTTGCACAACCGATTGCTCGACCCGAACGCGCAGTTAGGCCTACGTGCTGCCATCGTCTCGGCGCTGATATAACTTAATATTGTCATTGGTTATGTTGGGTAAGTACGCGGCGTCTGCGCGCTAGTCACCTCACATGTGTGTGTGTGTTGCGTGTGTTGCGTATGTGTGTTGGGTGTAAAATTATCTCGTATTAAAATCACTCTACCATAGACGACAAGACAGTTAAGTAATAATTTCTCATATAGTTGTATATGTATAATATATCAGCGTAGTAAGTACGAGTTCAACCGAAAATATACCCTCTCTCTCGTGGTGTGCAGGAAGCAAAACTGTTTTCCTGTGTATATTTTATGTATAATTCCTTGTTCGCGCGCGGCGCACGCCACCTCTCTGCTCGTCTCGTCTCGAAATTAAGACACGAAAAACGTATTGCTTATTTTTGCTCGGTGCGTTCGGTGTCCCTGAATGAACACATGGATGCCATCCGCGCCGCATGCTGGTGCCGCCGCTGTGTCTTCGCCTCTCGACTGTTTCTGCTTCGTTTTGTTGCTTGCTCTCCACTCTTAAATCTCGAGTACAAATATGTATATGTGTATATAATGCGGGACGTCGTGAGGAACTATAACGTGCGGTGGTGCCGCCGCCTCGTCTGCGAGAGATGCGTGCGCGGGGCTCTGGCGCTCGCCGCCGCCCGCGTTCACATCGTCCGCCCAGCGCGCCCAGGTGCCGTGCGCATCTCACGTCGCCGTCGCCGCCTCCAATGTGCTGCCGCTCGCCCTCGTCGTCGTCGTCGTCGTCGTCGAGCCGCCGGTGGCGCGATGCAAGGCGAGCACTGCTAGCAATCGCATCGTTCGTGACGCCGGTGTGCTGCGGAGACGAGTCGGAGATTATCCACTACGCTATATCAAAACTGCACTACTAACACAACTACGAAATGCATTCATCATCCATCACACACACACATCGAAACAATTTGCCAACGGAAGAAAAAATTTTCTCTCCTTGAGAGAGGAAAATGATTTTCTCGGATCCGTGCGAATCCTTAGAAAGTACGCACCCGACCTGGTTCGAGGCGCGGCGGGTTGCGCTCTAGATTCGCCCGCACCGACCCAGTGCCCTTTGACATATCCGCCCGCCAAGCGGAAGTCGTCGGATGTTGCCATCGAAACTCATTTCGCCGTACGCGTGTCTGCCGCCGCGGTCACAAAGCGATGGCGAATTTGCGTCGCACACGCCCGTAATGGGGCAAATATTATTATGCGATGTTTAGTACGGCAGTAAAGTTGGAAATCGATACTAATAAAACACAACCGTTTAGAGTTCGTGAAAAATCAATACTGCATAAATAAAGCAGTCGCCGTCGTATGCAATCAGCGATATAGAAAAGCGCGAATGGCCCAAAATTAAAGTGTTGATCGTGCTGAACTCCATTAGAGTAAACACACTGCAATAACACACCACCCGCTCGATGCGATGCGGTGACCCATTTTCGCAATACTTCTTGTACCGGCGCGCCGTGTACGTGCCCAGTTGTTGCCGCCGCCTGAATAATTCACGCGAGATTCGTACGTACACGTCCGGCGGCGGCGGCGTGCGTGAGTTATGACGGATAAACGTTTTCGCCACATTGTAATTACGCGGTGCCTCGGGGAAATCACTCCGATTCGCCGCCGCCGCCGGCGCAATTTTTATTTCCGAGACGCGCGCGCGCGCGCGCCACTTTCGGAGACAATCGAATTACGCCCGCAATCAAGTGCTCGCGACTCTACGTGCGTCAGGCATTAATACGTTGTCAACAAAGCGTAAACACTTTTGCTGCGCCCGGCGCCTCCACATAATGACTTATTATGCGGATTGTTTCTCGCTATTACACATCACCAATTAGCTGGTTAATTAACATTGCTTTGAACCACTGCCGACATTTTCACCGGAATTACATCCAATTAAACATCGCGCTTTGGAAAAATTCCCGATAAAAATGAGCACCCATAATAACACCACTCGAGTGTGCCGTGCGCCGTGTGCCGCGGGCGTTGGAAATTCTCGTGAGAATTTAAACAGGCGAGATGTTTACGGCCGTTTCCTTGGCGACTGGCTTGCCATCCGGCCGGCGTTATTGCATTATACGCCGGCGTGGCGAATTCTCATTCATGGCGCGCTTATTTTCGTAAATAAATGTACTCCCGTCACGCCGGGCTCTGACATTAACTGGAATTACTTAAACTTGCGAGGAGATATTCGCGTTATGATGACACAGACATTCAGTTTTAAGTGCAATCGCGGCCGAATTTATATATTCGCCATTGAAATCTTTTGGCTTATCAACATGGCGTCGCAAATTGCGCTTTACGATCGCCCCATTTGCCAAAAACGCGCGCGTCTTGCCAATTACGCCGGGCAATACATTCAATGCCAAGATGTCTTGGCAGCGTTAAGAAAATTTACGTAAAACGCATGCATTATCATGAAATAAATAAAAGCAACATGCATGATGTATATATCTGTAGGCAAAATTTGCATTTTATTGAATATCATGTTTGTTATTTTCTGTTAAAAATTCAATTAAACCCCGCGTTGTTTTCACGAATTAAATATTTAATACGCGTAAATATTTACGGGCGCGAAAACGTAATAAAACCGAAATTTGCACCTCGGCGCTCACATATTTCGGTGATTTATGATTTGTTTGCCGAGCGCGTCGCGAAAAACTGCACCGTAATTAAATAATAATTTTCGATGCGTGTACCTTTATGATTCATTTCAGTTTTAATGTATTTGTGCAGTTTTGTTATTTTTCTTAAGAGTCCATTATTCCACGGTTCATTTGTTCGGCGCGCACAAAAGCTGGCATTGTGGCATTGGAAAGAACGCGATGTGGAGGCGCCGGGCCATCATTAATCACCGCGGCGCGGCGGGGCCTGAATGAGTTTTATTATATCCGGCCGAAATTGGAGAGCAGCGCCGCTAAGTGTGCGCCTATAAATGGATATTTTGCATGTAATCAAAATAATCGCATTTGCGCCGAACAAAGATTGCAATTCAAACAGTTTTTCTTCTTTTTTTCGCTTCGTATTCGTCTAATACTTGTACGAGCAATTTGAAGTGACATAAAAAATTGATTGCAATGTCTATGCATGTCTATCCATGTGGATATGGTAGCCGTAGAAAGCCACTTAGAGTGTTTACTCAAGCCTCTTTTACATTCATACGCGTGTTCTCGCGTGTTCATTAACTATTGATCGACGCGACGCGCGCGCCGGGATTGATAAATATTTTCGAGGCGGCTGCGCCTTGCTCGCGGGGGGGTGAGCCCCGACCAAACAATCCCAACAGCACCACCGCCGAATTACCCATTCAGATGGGGCCAACCGAGGCGAGATTGCCCCGCGCGCGCGATTAGTGCTCAAACATTGATGGCGCGCTGCAACATTAACGAAGCGGCGCCGCTCCGCTGGGCTATTAAATTTAGATCATATCGCTAATTCCGACGGATGCCGTCGTCGGGCCCCTGCAGGAAGTCGCGTGAATAAGAAATGCGCCCACCGAAAAACAACAGGTCCCAGCTGACGCCGGCGGATTAATTGGAAAATCTCGCTCGGCTGCGTGCTGCTCCTTGAAAGAGCGTCGTTAAACTTAATATGATCTTGCTTGATTCAATGATTTCATCATTTATAATGCGGGGGCTGGTTGTTGATAGAAAGTTGAAAATGATTGCAGAAATTGCATGTTTTTCGTTCATTGTGCGTCAATTAACTCTTTGTTAGTTAATGATGCATTTGTGTAATTGCTAACGGTTGTCAGTCGACCACTGGTGGTGGTGTATGATGGCAGTTCATGTACGAATGCCGCCGCCGCCGCCTAATTACGAGAATGAAATCGAGCACATTACCTTTGAGTTGGTGGCGTCGCCAAGCAATCAATCACTCCGAATCAATCACACACGCACGCCGGCGGTCCCTCGCCGGCCGTAAGTCGCGGCAGGCACGCGCGATTGGGGGTGGTGGTGGTGTGGGTGGGTGGGTATGGGTAATCCACGCGACTGTCCGCCCGGGGCTGATGTCGCGCCGATCGAAGCGGAACGCGGCCGTTTCGCGCTTAATTACATCCGGCCGAGCGTAATTAAATCGGTCGCGCCGCTGGACGCGCGCGTCGTGGACGTAACGTGATGTTGGCGGTTGGCGGTCGCGACGCGGAGTGAGCTCACTCCGCCGGCGCGCGAATTACTTGTTGATATCGCGACTGCGTTTTTTTCTTTCTCTTTCTTCGTCTAGTTTTCGTATTCTTTGCAGTCGCGAAAAGTCGATCTGGCCGCCGGTTACTAAGCGACAGCCGACGCGGAGAGTGGGTGCTGCTCGTTGATGGTGTGTCGATACGGGGGTGGGAGAGGCGCGGCGACGAGACAGCGGGAGAGGGTTTTCGGCGTTTGGCTGCGGTGTGGGCGCGCGCGCGACGACGACGAAATCGGACGCGACGCCGAACGCGACTGCTAACTAACTAGCGCCGCGCGGAATTAGTGTGCGCGCCGGCCGCCAGCGGGGGCGGGCCGCGAGAAGCCGCGCGCAACAGCCCCAGCGCAACAGCAGCGCGCCGGCAGCAGCGCGGCTACAGGTGGCGGCTGCCGCCCGAGTGCGCGAGGTCACGTTCACACACCCAGCGCCCATTTCCTCGGGCCTTAAGCCACTTCGCGCGCGCCATATCAATGATTCATTATTTATTATAAATCGTCCGATTATGACGCATACTTTTTCATTGTTTAACCGCACGCGCCAAGCGTAAGCCTCAATTTTCCCGTGCCGATAATCTACAAGGACACGTTCAACAACTTCCTACACGTTTAATTTAACATAATTCGACTAGAAAATTTATCTACACAATTCAAGGACAACCTGTCACCCAGTCACCCACAGCAGCTCGTAAATATAAATTTGTAGAATAATAAAAAAAACTTCGCAGCTGGAGCGGCCAATAAAATCTCCGAACGCAACCGAATTTATTTTCCAATAAAAATACAATCTCGCGAAACACATGCACCCACCGGTTGCTATCCTGCCGGTGGTGGGCAAATCGATGCGGGGCGCGGATTCGCCGAAAGCCGTCCTCGCAAATTACATTTCCCGGCGAAATTTACATTTCGTGTGTCACGCTGTCACCCTACGCATACGAATCGCATTACGAAGTTATAATGGAAATCAGGTTGATACCTAACGCGGAAAACTATTCACAATTACCCCTGGGAGCAGCCGAAAAACATCCAAAAATTTCCCGGTGGAAAAACGAGTTGTGTTGGTATTAAGCACCAAAGACGGAAACAGGAAGTGGGTGCTTGATAGCAGGATGGAATTAAGAAATGCTCCGGAGGTATCCGCACGTACGCGCGTCCTTGCCAGAAGAAGAGTCAAGGTTAATACGCATTATCGGGCGACATTCGCGGCGCGCCGGCACGTGGAGCGCAAATAAAGAAGCCGCCCCCGCCGCCTGCACACCCAACGGGAGCACGCCGGGAATGCTAATGGTCTGTGCTATTTTAATATTAAAGCGGCGCGCCAACGAGGACAAGGTTCAGCCACGCACAATTGCATTGCGATTCGTGAATTCACCGCCAGCCACCCCCAACACTATCCCCGGTCAAATGAATCGTAATGACAAACTCATGTTTAGAACAAAATCCTCCTCCACGCAGTAAAAAATGTCACTAAACAAACAAATAAATCAAATGTGAGATTTCTACGCGTGGGGGCGGCGAATAAAAATATCTCGTAGGCTTTCCAGTGGCGTGTATATGCGTGCTGTCGATCTGCGGTGGCTTCATCTCTGTGGGACGCTTGGCGGCGGAGTATTGTTGACTTAAAGTTTGGCAGGCGTCACGTTCAATCAACTTTACAACGACGCCATTAGGAGCTCCATCACACTTGACAAACGTGTTCGATCGATTGCCGAAAAGTTGCTTTTTATAGCCAAATGCGTGCGAGGAATCACGGCGATCGTGAGTTCCCAACACCTTTCCGAAATCAAGAGTAATGTGCAGCGACGTGGGGCGAATCTTCCGCCGCGGCGGAGATTTAGCATCGGTTCGCACTTAAAATATTGCCGGCGATTTCCTACGCTTCGTGCGCGTTCGACTAACTAAGATTAATGAATCTCGTGGAGGACGAGGGCTGCTGGAAAAATTAAGATTGGTGGGCCGGACCTGATGGATGGCGGAATTACAACTTCAGGTTGGAATCGCTGTGCAACGATTTGCGTGATGAGAATCAAGTACGATGCATTGCATTATTAAGTCAAACGGTGTTAATCAAAGCAACCGCACCGCATTTGCCGCCAACGCAGCAATAAATCATCGCTGCGGTCGGCGGTTAATTTTTAATGCGTCAAATCATGTGTGAACGCGTCGAGTACGCGCCGCGTACACACACACACACCCTGATGAAAATTTCATTCAGGTTGTAAACGAGGGGCGGCGGTACATATACGAATCGCGGTTTGGGCCCCTTGCGGCCCCATTGCTGCGATCGATAGGAATTTCGTGTTGTCATGGTTCTGCCGATTAAAACAATGCATATTGTTCGTGTTCGCGTCCGTCGCATCATTCGCGTCGTGGGAATCGTGAGAAAGGCCCGCTGATTACAATAGCGTCTTTGTTGCCGCCGCCGCCGACCGGAAGAATGTAAAGTATTAAAGAAGCGTTGTATGCTCGAAAAACTTCCAAACCTCTTCGACAAAGGGAAATATTTCCGAAATCATGATCAACGTCAGTGAAAAACTTTGTGGAAACTTAATTAATTTCCGCTGCGCGTTGATTTGAATACGTACGGTGCGTTTTTCTGTTTGCCGGAGGCGGTTGTTGGTGAAGTGAAGTGTTCGGGATTGCATGCGTCGCGCCACCTTGTGTGTAGCGGCGCAATCCGCACATCGGAAATGCAGGAACTACAGGAAGTTCATTAACTCGCGCGTGGCGGCGGCGGCGTGAGGCGGCCGGACTCGGAACACGCACCGACCAGCGCGCGCGCGGAACAATCGATATCGCTCGGCGGCGGCGTTCGGCCACGTTCGAAATTTATTATGTTAATTATGTTCGCCGTCTCGCTTCGTTGCTTTTTCAGCGCCGCCGCCACCGCCGACGATGAAAATTCCAGCGCCGCTGGATGGAGCAGAAGTCGCGCGCGATACACGTGCGCATATCTCGCGTATCTCTCGGAATGCGAGCGGCGAAAGTTTCCGAGGCGAAAAAATCCCAGCAGGATGGCACGCGGGCGGATGTCGGCGGCGGCGGATGATAAGGCGGATCATCAACGCGACGACGTGGCGATAAATTCCAGCAGATATGCTAATGCGTTGACCCGGCGGTGTTTACGGCGTGCGACTTCGATATTTTCGATCGCAGCTGAAGACGCTCGTTTCTTATCAATCTGCGCGCGGGCGTGCAGGAATTAATATCGTTTTCCAAGTATTCAATACTGTTAAACACACAAATCGTTTTCCTAAACATTTTTCAGTCAAAAATTTTGATTATTTCGTGTTAAAAACGTTTTTTAACGAATTTTTAAACGTTTTTTCACTTTGTGTCTTATTAAATTTATTATTTAGTGTTTCTATCGAGTTTGCGCTTATTATTCGCCGATTATGATTCAAAACAAACGCGTAAATATCATAAATATGTATGCAAAACGATCGCGCACGAGGAAAACATCACTTGCACGCCACTTTAATCAAACATATTTTAATAAAATCGAAATTGTGTGGAAACATTCACGTAATACGCTCATGAAAGTAAAATTTTCCGTATTTTATTGCACGCCGCGTGTTTTGAAATAAATAGTTTTGTTTTGTGTGGTTTTAATTCGGCGCAAATAACGCGCGTGGAAAAAAACATTTGTCAAACAAAAAGTTTTCCAATTATTGCCGGCTTTTATTTGGCTTTCACACAGCGGTAAATAATAAATGGAGGGTTTTTAATTTCCCGCCGTAATTATGTTTTCGTCACTGCGGTGGTTCTCCGATAATTGTTATTGCCACTCATAATTCACAAACAAATTAAAATAATGAGTTAAATTGACCGTGAAGCAATGTAACGAGCAGAAAATTGATTTCCAATTGAAACGCCGATCAAAAATAACGACCGCGCCGCAATTTGGCCATTTTCGGATTTTGAATGTGGATGTGGATGCGCCGGGCTAGGCTAGTCTTCAATTAGCGACCCTTTCAGATCCGGTTTGGTTCCGATTTTCGCAAATCAAAATAAAAATTCAAATCGCGCTACGCTTCGGCGTTTAACAAGCGCGCCGTGACCTTTTCGGCGGGGCGGCCGGAAAAAGTTCGAGTTGTGTGTGCTATTCGTCATAATTTTGGGTCGGGATCGCCTGCAGTTTGAGATCGCGCGCGCCGCACACATCAATATTGGCCTTCAATCTTTAATGTCAAGCGACTAAATATAGGGCAAGCGAAAACGCGAAAATGTTACGCGGCTGCCGCGGTGGCCGCCTTTATAGGCCACTGTGTCATCGGGGAATAACAGGAGAGCGCAGAAGAGCGCGGCGCGCCTGCAACCGTTTGACCTCTGCGACTCGCCGAGACGTGATCTAGTGCCCCGTCCGCGCGGATGCACCTTCCACCAGCTGGGCAGGCGGCGCACGCGCCCACACCCCACCCCCATTGAACACGACTTCGAACTACTCGTACAACTTTCGTTTCCAACCGTTGCGTTTTTAACCCGCGCGCGCGCGCGCGTAATATCCATACATCAACCAATAGAGTATCTGCCGGATGTGTCGTCATAGCCCCGCCCCGATGTGTCAAACATCATCTTTGAAATTTCGCACGGCGCGCTGTATCGACATTCGCGCGGCACGTGCAGGCACTCCAAGAAGCAGCGACGCTGGAGATTTGTTTGCGCTCGCTGCGCCCACTGGCAAACAAATAACTTCTAATTACGTATTTGCCGAGCGAGACAGACGAGCTAAGCGCGCGGATGCTACGATTGATAAATTCAATATTTGCATGCGACCGACCCGCCAATTATCCTTCATCTAGCTGATCTAATTAGCACGCGCTCGCTTACAATAGAGGTGCATGTGTTAACAACTAACTAGATAACCCAATCAAGCCCTTTGACTTTCGCGCACAAATGTGTCAATTTCGACGATTTTATCATCCACGCAATAATTACTTTATTGTTGGGATGTTTTCAATTTTAAAGCCTTTGAGGTTTATTTTCGGAACAAAAAGTATCCTATCGCCTATTTGATTGTATCAACTGTTCTACTTTAAAGTTTTATCAAAATCGAGTGAGTAGTTTTTGTGTTAAAGAGCAACAAACATACAAAGTCACGCGTAATTGGTATTGCCACTCGAAATTCACGAACAAATTAAACTTTAATGAGTTAAACTGACTTTGAAACAATATAACGGGGATAAATTCAACAATTTTCGCTCGCGACTAACAAATTTCTAGTTTTTGAATTATTTTATGCGAAATTCTCAATTTCATCGATTTTAAGCCATTTTGATTTATTTTCGGCGAAAAAATCATATCTCTTATTCCATTAAATAAACTATAATATTGTGAAGTTTCATCAAAATCCGCTGAGTAATTTTTGCGTTAACGAGGAACAAACATACAAAGTCACACGTAATTGTTATTGCCACTCGAAATTCACGAACAAATTAAACTTTAATGAGTTAAACTGACTTTGAAACAATATAACGAGGGCAAATTGAACAATTTACGCGCACGACTGACTATTTTATAGTTTTTTTTTAATTATTTTGTGCAAAATCCTTAATTTAATCAATTTTCAGCCCTTTTTTGATATAATTTTGAGGAAAAAAGTATTCTATCTCTTATTCCATTAAACAATCTATAATATTACGAAGTTTCATCAAATTTCACGGAGTAATTCTTCCTCCAAAGTGTTTCAAACATACAAATTCATTTCTAATACACATCGCGTTGTCGTAGAAACGTCAACAACACAAATTACATCAGTTTGCTGTCGATACGTGTGGGAATTCTCATTACGCCGTCCATTTTCATATTAAGCGCATCGTTTTCAAAGCGGTTCGATGGCAGAACGGAGAAAAAAATGAAAGCAATTGCAGCAACAAAACGCAAACAAATAGGAGTTTAGAATATTAAACATGCATTACGTTCCAGTCCATTACAATTACGATATATTGACATGAATGCCACCGAGTAAAACATGCTGACGCATTCAAAGCAATAATTCCCATTTCTTCGTGTCTTCGCTCTTGTTTGATGTGTAATTTTCCATATCCGGACGTGGGCCGGTCGTGTACAACCGCGCTGCTCGGCGCGCATTTCTACCGCTTCCCACTTGTACGGAAACTTAGTCAACTTAGCTTTATTGTGACAAGTTAAACACACACTCACACATAATATATAATCCTCGATGTTTTTATTCGTAATATTTGAATAATCCGGTTGTCACGATGCGCGGTCAAACTTGTTGGCAAATTGTTTCGATATTCATGGATTCATGCGCGCTCTCGATGCAGAAAAATGTGTACTGGCTTCGAATAAAACTTACCGAGCACGGATGTTGGTGGTCACGGCACGCTTGGTTCTGATTTGATTGATTCGGCGATTATATTGACGGGTCGATATTGGCGAACGCTCGCAGGATTTGCATACTTGAGTGGACTCGGCTGCGGCTGATGACGGTGTGCTCGCCTGCAATAAGTCAAATAAGTCACCATGTTTCCAACAGATGTGCGGCAAAAAACAGCGAGTCGTATTATTCATACTAGTAGTGCGGAGGAATGTTGGTTTTCGGGGAATTCTCGTCATTAAAACGTGATTCGGTATGAAATAAACATAGGTTATTGAATGTAGGATATTAAGGGTAAATTATGCATCAAGTGCGCTAAACGGCACTTTAGCCACGTTTACCGAAGTGATGTTTACGTTATTTTTAATATATTTTCAGTTTTTTCATGGTTTTGAGACACAAAATGTGGTATTTTAAACATGGATGATCAAGGCCGTGACTAAAGTACTTTAGTCACGGGGTGCATTTATAATCTTACATTTCCCTGCCGTATTCGAGCGAATTTCGATGATTTAACGTACAAAAGGTCAAATACAAAAACTTCAACGTCGAAATATCTTGGAAGTAGACAAAACGTATGCATCACGTGGCTAAACATTTTTAAACACTTGATTGATTAAACGTTTGCTACGCTTGCTCTCTTAATCAATCTTGTGATTAAAACTCTCGTTTAATCACTGGTTACTTATTATAGGTACTATTTTCTAGTTGGTTGTTTAAAGCGCCAGTTTTTTCACAATTTTGAAAGTGGTACTTTAGACACGGACGGCTGCGCAGTAGGCAAATGCGCAGGCGCAAGCTCTACCTCGTAAAAAAAGTACTTTAGTTCTGATCTTGCCCGTGTGTAAAATTCCACTTTTGTGTCTCAAAATCGTGAAAAATCCTTGATAAATATTGAAAGTAAAAAATGTATTTTCAACCAAGATCCTCGAAGATTTCAATAATTATAGTCCGGAAAGTTTCGAAAAGATCGTCTTGAAATTTTAATTTGATCCGAGATTATCTAAACGCGGACATGTGAGCTTTTCAATGAAAAGGGCGCGTTTTTTTGAGCGCTGACACGGGTTCCGCAGCGACAAGGGACGCATGAATATTTCAGCTCGCTGCAATATTAAACCCCGCATGTCCTCCTCTGCCACCACCGCCGCCGCCCCCCGGCGACACTTTATCGATGCCTCGCGAAACATTCATAAAGAAATCGGCGAGTCGACGTGCCGACCCAATGCGCCGCGGCATAATAAACCCGCGTGCGGAATATTTATCTGCGCCTCGTATCATAAGTCGCCGAGATGCATTTTTCATGTGGCCGACCGGCCCCCTACCCCCACCCCTCGCCGCCGTCGGTCCGTGGCGCGGTAAAGCGTGTAATACACGTGTGCGCACATACGAGCAGCGGGCACGCAATCCGCAGCGCTGGTTTACGACCGCCGTCGCGCGCCGCGAATAAATTCCCTTTATAGATAGATGCATATCAGCCGCGATGCGTGCATGCCGCCCCGAAGCCAACACCGGGCGGCCGGGCGGACTAACGGCGCGCTTTAAGTAATAACTTCACAATTACGTATTTATTTGCCATGAAAGGATAATTCACTCGGCGGTTTTCTTATCGTGCTCTGGTGGTATGGTATGGTATTTCAGTCGCTAGGGAGGCGGTGAATAATTGATGCGTTGTGTTTGTCATTTTTAATAAGTCCTGATGCGCATTATCACTCTTCGCGTGGCGCCTTTGATCGTATTAATTTTTGGTTGGAAAATCAATGCACTTGAGTGCCGCTCTACTGCCCCACATGCCACACGCCGCCGCCGGCCGCTACGCAAACAAAATCGGCGCGGCACGCACACGAAAATCAATCGATAAACTCTCGGTATGTGTGTGTGTGTGTCGTGGTGGTGATTCACGTGCTCAGGTCCCTTGCGCATACATATTCAACTGAAGGCGGTGATTGTGGCGGCGGCGATGCAGCGGGAAAAAAGCAGGTGACCGGCGTGATTTCAATACTTCCGAGCGCGCACGCCCCCGCGCTGTGTGTGTATCATTACGCCTATCGTTTGATAAATAATTGATTTCATTCAGGATGGAATTATGCGCCACGCACACGCACTACTTGTTTACTACGCCGCGTGATTTTTTTCTCTTATCCACTTGTCTTCTTATCTCCCGGGGAAAAAAGCAATAGATTCGTTTCTGACGGCACTCAATTTAACAGCACCGCTCCGCAGCGGGAAAAATCGCCGCCGGCGCGAAACAATGCGAGTATGAAATTCGCGTCGCTGCCACCAGTTCATTATCTGCCTCTGTGCTCGAGTGCGCGACCATAGTTTAGTCTAGTGTTTACACAACACCGGGGGGCGGGCGCGCAGAATAGGCAAACGAAACAAGGCGCCGAACAAACGAAAATTAGAACGACGCGAAGCGTGACGCGACGCGTCGCACAAAAGCGGTGGCGACGGCGGCAGAACGACGTAAATATCCCATTAAGGACATCAGAAGACATCACAAGGCGCGGCGCAACCGCGTTTAGTTTACTACGGCTGAAGATGCGTAATGCATATTGTCAGCGAGCGCGCGCTGCCGCCAACTATTCAAACTATTCGCTATTCAGTCAAATCTCCGACGCTTTGTTGTCGGTATTAAATTCCTGACAACTCTCTTCTGCATATCGAAGCGTGATCTTTCGTGATTTCTACATTATTTCTCGTACGCGCAGCGCAAAAAGAAAAAAAGCGAGAAAAAAAAAACCGTCATAAATCCGCAGAAATGCGCGTTGTATAGCAGCAATTTTAGTATTTCAGTACTTTGAAAGTTAGATTGAAAATCTCTTGAGAAGTATTGACGTTTGATGAAATCCGAGCCGCGAGCATGTGCGTGAAGCACATAAAACTCCACACAACTTCGCCGGCCGAATCATATTTTTCGCGCAACTCAATTTTTCAACTTGAAACTTTTCGATACAACGCAAAAAATTATTGTTACCGCGGATGTTTTTCATGATTTTAATTCGTAAACTCATCGGCGCCGAGTTCAATTAAATCCCGAACGCGAGAAATCGCTCCAACTTTAATGCGCCGCGAAAGCAACAAAAGAACATTCAATTACACTAAAACTACCCCCAGCTAGCTAGCCAGCCAGCGCGGTTAACCAGCCGGAAAAAGTTGCGTCGCGCTTTCCCCCGAAGAGTATTAAATTGCCTGCAAGTTTTACGCGCGCGCCAGCCCCCTGCAGAATTAATGCCGGCGTGAATAATTAACCGAAACACTCGAGACGTGTTCGCATGCCTCGCGCCTCCACCACCACCAGCGAAACGATTAATATTTTGCGCTGTTTTTGTGTCGCGCGCGCTCGGCAAACTTTTCGCCTCCCCGAAGAATCGTTTTTGCACGCGAAATTACGCCGGGGTATTTAATACAACACTTGGTCAGGAAGCGGGCGCGCGCGCTCAAGAAGACTGCCAAGAATAACTTGTTGAATTGCGAAAGCCCCGCCGCCTGCTGCGATATGTAGTATAGTCTTTACCGCGCAGCAGGCAGGCGAGAAAAAAAAAACATATTCAACTTTTTAATTGAGCAGCGCACACGTGACGCGCGATAAAATCGAACGAGTGAATGAACCGAACGAGCGTGAAACGGGTTTTTATTCGAATAGAAATTGCAGGCATGCGAAGTTAAAAACGTGTGTTGTTTGCGAGCTAAACGTGTAATTATTTTAATGAAATTATGTTGGCGCGATTTTATCGACGGCGTATTATATTGTTAGTCACGTAGTGTTCTAGCGGGGATAGAGGAGAGAAAAAGGATGATTGCCCGGCGCAAGTAAATTAAACCCGGAGAGTTTAAACCGACGGATTGGTGGATGCGCCGCCCGAAAGTAGACTTTGCCTTTAATGAATCCACGATTTTCGAGAATCCGAGATTAACTGCCTAGTGCCGATCCTAGAAGCGGCGGAGACATGATGCAGGCCGGCAGCACGCGCTCGCCGCGAGTGAACCGATCAATAATTTAGCGAAAGATGATGATAATCCTCTTTCGGCTGGAGTTTCGAAATTCCGGAAGTTCGCCGAAAATCCTTCACAATTCGAAGCGCTTGACTCTCGAGCGCCCGGGATCATCCAATCAACAACTCGCCGAGTGGCACGGATGTTGCCTAACATGCATAAATATTGCCCAACTTTCGCGTATCTAACCTCACTTGCATGCTAGCATGTGAAAGTGACAAGGATCGCTCCGCAAAGCACTCGTGTTCACGGCTGCTAACTTCTACATTAGCCGAACCTAACCTAAAATTCACATAACCTCACTTCTATCACGTATGATTTTTCGACATTAGCCGAACCTAACCTAAAATTCTCATAACCTCATTTCTATCGAGTATGATTCTTCTACATTAGCCGAACCTAACCTAAAATTCTCATAACCTCACTTCTATCGCGTCTGATTCTTCTACATTAGCCGAACCTAACCTAAAATTCACATAACCTCACTTCTATCGCGTTTGATTCTTCTACATTAGCCGAACATAACCTTAAATTCTCATAACCTCACTTCTATCGCGTATGATTTTTCTACATTAGCCGAACCTAACCTAAAATTCACATAACCTCACTTCTATCGCGTCTGAGTCTTCTACATTAGCCGAACCTAACCTAAAATCCTCATAACCTCACTTCTATCCTATCGTATGATTATTCGAAAGTGGCGTGTGCCGAAAAAAGTGACCCACACACACGCTATTGTCGGCACAGCGCATTAAACTAAATTGACTCGATTAAACGCGGGCACGCCGAGACGACCCCGACGCCCGCCGGGGGCGGCCCGCCGGCCCCGTGCATTTGACATCGAGGTGGATTAATATATCAATGTACGTATTGCATGCACATGACGGAAGCGGGTCGTGTAAATGCGTACCACGTGAAGCGGCGCAACGCTTGGACAATTACCGCCGGCGTCGCCGCCCCCCTATGCGCGGCCCACTTTCGGCCGCAAGGAAGCATTGTTTACGAATGTTGTTTTCCACGAATGCGCATTCATCATCGAAAATGCTGCTAGGTGGGTGTACGCTGCTGGCTTTTTTTGCCGCCTCACCGCGCAAAATTGCGCAGTTTGCAGGCATTCTTCCCCGGCTGCAAATTGGCGCAACTTTCCGGATGCAAATTTTTAATTTTTTACTTTTTTGCTTGCAAAACTACGTTAATTATAACTATTTCATTGAAATTATTTCAATCTCTCTGCCATTGAGAAAGTTTCCGGATATCTACGCGATACAATCAAGCATGACGATTTAATTAATCGCATTGTTTGATTGTTTGCGAGTGTATCGAAAGTTTCGAAGGGGTCACACGACGCGCACATGAATTTATTTGGTCGATAGCGCGCGCGCGATTCGCGCCGGCAAACAAACCCACATCCCGGCGCCTCCACCCGCAGCAACTCGCACACAACTCGTGGTGTGCTCTCCTTCAATTTCTAATTGTTATTTGTCGACTTGTTTGCTTGTTATTTTCGTGTGTGCGGGGCGCGCACGAAATTGTCGCACGACGGCGGCGCGCGCACCGGTTCATTGCCTCTCGACGACGACGACGACGAAAAAAAAAGCACACGAAAAAATAATAATAATATTCTAATGAGAAAATAGCCATTTCGCATGTGCGAGGCGAACGCACCGCCGCCTCCACTGAGAGATTATGGAAAAGATTGCGGCGAGGGTCGAAAAGTTCAGTTCAATAACTCGGGCGAGAAAATTAGAGAATAACTTGGATAATTTGCAAAAGTATCGCATAATTTTTGCTCAGGGGTGGCACAGTGGCACGATTCATTTTCGGCGAGTATCGATGCAACAAGGAAAACGAAAACAGATTGTGATAATCGATAGGAAAGTTTTGTTTGAAACAAGTTGAGCGTTTTACCTCGGATGACACTGGCGGCGTGTGCGATGATCACCAGCAGGCCTGCTGGTGATGATGGAGACGCATCTCGACCGCCACTCACCACCACCGCACGTGCAGCACACCACCGCGCGCTGGCCACCTTCCTCTCGCAGCACTACGCGCTACGTGTTCCTCCTCGCCGTTGCCGCCTCCGCCTTCGCGTGGTCCGGTCGGGTGTGTGGTCTCGGCGGGCGGGGGCGGCGGTGCGCGCTAATTGTTTATCTCTCCGGAATACGCGCGCGAATTCTTCCTCGGTCGTCTCTCGCGCACACCGACACTTGGTACCCGTTTGTGTTCTTCGTGTTGATTTGAATTTTCCTGCGTGCACTGCGTGTCCCTTTCGCAATTCGCGCGCGCGTCTGTGTATAATATATGTATAGAAGAGAAAATGAAAAATTCGGGCCGTGACCGAACTGCCAGCCGACAGGATGGTGAGACTGACGGTTCGGGTCGGTTTGGGAGCCGCTCTCGGCGGCACACACCGAACACGCCGCGGTGGTGGTGGGGGGGGGGGCCCGGCGGGGCACGGTCGTGCCGCCGCCGTCGGGGCGTGCGCCGTGCGTCCCCGAAGAGCGAGGAAGCCGAAGCGCGGCATCTAACCGCCTCGGACTTCCCAAAAGTCGATAACGCGCTGATACGCGCGGCGGCGGGCCCACCTTCATGACCAATTTCTTACGGCCCCCAAACGGCCGCCGAGCGCCATCTACAGCGCGCGCCGAAGGACGCGTCTCGTGTTGCCCATCCAATTAAAGGTAATTTAATCCGTGAAAACGGACGCGCGTGTATGTTGACTCAGGGACAACGCAAGTATTTATCATTTTAATGCGCTGTTTGACACTCATTACACTATTGATCAAACAAACAAACACGCAAATCGCTGTGGTGAATCAAGTAACCAATATTTTCAAACACTTGACTGCGCATGCGCAGCACTCTTTTTCGAATCAACATGGTGAAGTGAATTAAAAACTCGTCGTGTACGAAGTCAATTAAAATTGAATTATTGTGCTTGGCAAGTTTCCAATCGCGTTGTCTTCGTTTCAGTTTCCACGCACTTGCGCGCACCTACGCCGCTGCATCGATGACGAGAGAAAGTGAACCGACCCGACCGGACAGCAGGCGGCAGTCGAAGTAGTGTAGTGGCGTGTTTCGCTCGAGTGCGAGCAGTGCGAGTGCGGCGGAGTGCGCGCTGGAACTCGTTCAAGCGTCGCGAACGCAAAGCGTCCAGAGACAGTGTCCTGCGTGTCCCTGCAGCCGCTGCCAGCAGCATCACCCGCATCGTGTAAGAATCTCATTTTACTTTCCACTACTCAGTATTCCGTACAGATTGCATGCACATTTGCCGACTCAGCAGGAATTACAATCAAAACATTTGTGACTCATGCACGCTGATGCCATATGCGAATGCAAACAACGGTTATCAATGTTTGGCGTGTTTTTCAGTATAAGTATCACAAATCCGCATAAGATTCATGCATGTTTTTGTTGGTTTTGTGAAATATATTGCGATGTTGGTTTCTGATCGATTCCTGCGGCGTTTGTTTGTTTTTCGTTGTTTTTATCGACGACATAACCTCGACGCGCGACACTGCAAGTCTTTGCATCGCATCTGTTGCGTTTTCTGTTGATGATTCGATGATTTTCGGGCGTATTAACAAGAAAATTAATTCAGTGTGTTTGGTTTTTAGAAAAATGTCGGTTAACGAGGCTGTCTACCAGCCGACGACAGTCACCTACGAGTCGGAGCATGAACACCACCCGCCCCAGCAGAGATGGTCGCATAGACCCATCAGTTATATCGCAGCGACTGTTTCGCAGGCTGCTCGGCGTCCCTGCGGCATCTCCTGCGTGCCTTTACGCAGTGTACTTCCCACTGTATATCTCACATCAGCAATTGCTTCATTCACAATTGGGTAATGATCAAATTTTTGATATTAAATGTGATTTACTTATAAATATTTTGTTTTTAGATTAACTATGTTCATGCAAGGATTAATCGGTTATATTGATATGCCGCCTGCAGCCTCTGAGACATTCTACCTCTCAATGGCAATCATCGGTGCTTTGGTATTCGGCGTCGGGTTTGTTTTCGTGGTGCTGTTCTTGCGCATGAATCGCAACTGGTGTTATCGCGCTGGAAAGGATCATCTGGACGGAGGTGGCGCACAGGCTCTCACTGTGAATCCATCAACGGATCTCCTGGTTGCAGCGCAGTACGCTCCCGTCTCTGAAGTTACTTATCAGCCGCCCAATGAAGAAAGCGAACAGAGCAAACTCATGCCGCAGGAAAATAAAGACATCACGTGCGTTTTTTTGCTGAAAATTTGTCATTTTTAAGGTTATGATTAAATTTTATTGTTTTTTTTTTCTTTTTCAGCGATGAAACAGATCGTATGTTGGAGACTGACCCGCGCATTGTCCTGCGCCCACTGCATCAGCAAAACATGCACGAGGAGACATAACTCCCTCGCTTCGCATATTTATTTTTGCATATTTATACTACACCTTAGTCCGTAAATTGTTTGTGTTCGAAATTACCATTTTGCGGTCATTGCTTTGCTGGACGACTCTGATAGGATGCGGGTAAGTAAAAACTTCAACAAAAACCCAAAAAAAAAAAATGAACGGAAACATTTCACAAACATGCGACAGCTTTAATTAGTAGGGACGTGCTTTCTCTGGGTAGCGCTCGTCGATAAAAAAAATGGCACTAAATTATTTGTACGGAACATCACGCGCGCGCGTAGTACAACCAACACGGCAAACAAAAGACATGTATTTTTTATATGGCACTTACTAAATATGTACTTAAGTCGATTTGATCTTGGATGTTAATGTGATACGGGGGGGACTCGAATGCTGGAATTGTAGAAAAGATGGCGGCGCAGGAATCTCAAACGCATGCGCATTTTGGAGCATATGCTCTTCGCCACGTATTTTTGTAAAATTTCCACTTGCAATTCGCGTATACATTTTGTACGCGACTTGTGCGGCGTCTATATTTTTTTAATTTGATATCTACAACATGTATTTGCTATTATTTTTTTTGATGTTAAGTATCAGGTTTACTTACTGCACTGAGATTTTCTAATAAATATCAAGTTTAAAATGAATCCGCACGCTAAATATCATTAAAACGCGCATTTATTTATACAAAAGTAATAAAAAATAAACAAGATTCTTTGTAAAGATAAAATAACCTGAAATTCTCAAAAAATACTTGTAGAAAAAAGTAAATGTCAGTCATTTAGAAGCCATCACTGTAGCGTGATCGTGGAGGTCGTGCAGTACCCTCCATACGACGCCGCTCCATGTATCTCTCATGCTTCACAACATATCTGTGTAACTCAGCAGGAATAATCTGCTCAGCCTTCTCCAGTATTTTAATCAGCGCCTTTGCGTGTTTGCTGTCTTTGAAGCACATGAACGTCACGGATTTACCGGTCTTGCCAGCCCTGCCTGTGCGTCCAATACGATGCACGTATTCTTCAATATCACGTGGGAAATCCAGATTGATCACATGCGTCAAATCGGGGATATCAATCCCGCGCGAGGCGACATCCGTCGCGATCAGGTACTGCGTCTCGCCGTTCTTGATCACTTCAAGCGCGAGCTCGCGATCGGATTGGTCCATATCCCCGCGTAAGCAATATGCGAACACATCGTTCATTGCCAGTTCGGTGGAAATGTAAGTGGCACGTGCTTTAGTTGAGCAGAACACCACCACCTTTAAATTGGGCTGGTTCTTGTGACATCTAGCAAAGTCCAAGAGCAGCACTAGTTTTTCTTCCGCGTCGTCATCATTCAGGAAGACAAACGACTGCGCGATGGTTGCGACGGCTGTCAGGTCCAATGTGCCGACGATTACCTGCAGAGGGTTCTTCATGTAACTGTTGGCGAGTCTGCGTACGCCATCCGGCCATGTTGCGCTCGTCATTATGGTCTGACGATCCGGACGGATTTTATACATGGTGCGGCGGATGACTGCTTCAAAACCAGCGTCCAGCATGCGATCAGCTTCGTCGAGAACAACGTAAGTTACAGAGGTAATATCAATATGGCCGGCTGTGACGAGATCATCCAGTCTTCCTGGTGTGGCAATGATAATGTTACAACCTTGTTTGATTTGTCGGATTTGATCGTTGCGATCAGCGCCACCATAGACCACAACTCTAATCACAACAAAAAAACATTAATATGAATTATTTTATGTTTTTTAAATTTTACTTACGAATTGATGTTGCAACACTTGAATTTCAACACTTCTTCATTAATCTGCAGAGCTAATTCTCTAGTCGGTGCCATGATGAGGATACTCGCCCCAGGGACTCTTCTCTGTCGTGGTTGGCTCATGAGATGCGCATAAGCAGGAAGTAGGAAGGCAAGAGTCTTCCCCGAGCCGGTTTGTGCAACGCCAATGATGTCGTGTCCTTTGAGAATCAACGGCCATGCTTGCGCCTGTATCGGCGATGGTTTTTGAAAGCCTGTATTCAATAGCAGCTGGCGAATGTCAGGCCAATTGATGAAGGCGTATTCAAAAGCGGGGATTGGGTTCAGGAAGACTACTTCTTCAGCAGGCTCAGGGGCACCTGGCGGTATCTGAACAGTGATCCCGTTGTTTTCTTCACGAAACTTTTCGACTTCATGCGGAGTCATATTCGCCACAGCAGGGTGTTCTTTGTATAAATCTTTGGTGATTGGTGGGTATTTCGCCCATTTTTCAGCTGCGACTCTGTCGCTTTCGGCTAACATTGCTTTGTAGTCGACTTTAGACCATTCCTCGGCTGCTTTGATGCGCTGATCCTCTATCCACTTGCGAGCCGCTTCTCCTTCGAGGATAAGCAGCGGCTCAGCGGGTGTTTGCGGTTTTTTTGTGTTTGCATTGTGGTTGTTATATCTTGGGCGTGCTCCACCTCTACCTCCGCCAAAGCCTCTAGCGCCACTATTGGCACCTCCACCTTTTTCTCTCCAGTTGTAATCTCTTCTCTTGGTCCAGCCAGAAGTGTCTGATTTGTTGATGGACATCTTTTTGACACTACTAGCCAGGTTCCAACCGTCATCATCAGCTTCATCTGTGGTGTTGTCTGCATTGGCACTGCTGCCATTTTGGGCCACAGCTGCAAATTGAGCTTTCATCTGTTCCTCAAACTGGATGGCATCATCCCAGTTGTTGTCCTCACACCATCCATCATCATTGTCTATGTGATACAGACAAAATAATGGTAACTAATGCGCTATATTCTACACAAGTCTTACCTTTCTCAGGCTGTTTTGGTGCATTTCCATGCGGTTGTGCTTGGTATGCCATTGGAAATCTTATTTATCTGAATCTAAATATTTCGCGTGCTGTTTTTTTGTTGCAATTATTAATTGGCAAACAGTCAAGTGTTGTCAGTTGTGTTGTCAGATGGACAGATCAACTTTTATTTCGCGAATGCTGTAAAATTTCTAATGAATAGCTAAAATGTGCCGCAATTCGCGATTTACCACCTTCAACGCGTGCAGTTTTTCTTGAACTGTACTTTTCGTTCACTTTCTAGGGTTAGAATCGTCTCGCTAACAAAATATTATTAAATTCTTTTCAAATCAGAATTACTGTTGGTATAAATTGTGATAAGAATTAGTTTTGTTGTAATCTTGTTTCATTAACGGAAATTTTGACGTTATCATTGAGTGTGATTTAAATTTGAAGCTTATTTGTGGACTGCAGCGCCACGAGTGATTTCCGGTGTGATTTTGTGAACTAAATTCAAAGTTTCATGCGACTACAGCGCCAGAGGCGGTCGGGCCTTGTTATTTGCGAACTACGCCGCCATTCCTTTTTGAGTTTTCATCACGTCCAGTTCGCTTTTGACTCTTGTAACATAATTACATTTCCAAATTAAAATAGAATAGTCTAATTAGTTTACCAACAAGACTCATCGTGCTTACTATCTCATGATCGTGCTGTATGTGTTCTGATATGAGCGGTAAGTTATTTATTCGTTTTTTATGCGCATTTAAAAGATGCCGTAATGGCTTTGCTTTTGAGCTTTGGTTTGAGCTTTGAGAAAGTAATAGTCATTCTCTAACTAACATTTTGCATATCTAGTTTATTTATAAATGTACAGAACAAGTAATAATGTAGAACTAGAGTTTCTTGACATTGAAATATTTGCTGCGGTTTTGAGTTTCTGCTCGCGACTGCAGCGCCACCATGGGGTGATGTTTATTTTTTATGAACTAAAATGCTAGTTCTTGTGTACACTCCTGCTAGCAACTGTGTAACACAAAAGCGCCAGTGGCTGTGTAGTGTTATTTTTCGCGAACAACCCCGCAATACGCTCTTCACGATTAGATAACTTTCGACTTCTTCAACTTCTTTACATTTAAACTTGAAATCAAGCATAATTAATTATTTTACAAGCAATATTCAGCTTGTTTTCCTTTTTTAAGTAAGCAGTACGTGTTCTGATGAAAGGGGTGAGTAAATCTCATTCAAAGATTGTTTTCGTTATAAATTCATAAACAAATATTGTCAACTAACATCTTGAAGGTATAACTTCTTCAAATTGTGCAGAATGCGTGTTCATTTAAACTGTGAGTAATTTAAACTTATTTTTCTGGTATTAAAAACTTTCATATTGTGTTTCAATTCCTGCTGGCGACTGCAGCGCCACCACGACCTGACGCTCATATTTTGCGAACTAAGTGACCAGTTGCTTTTGTGCGCGGTTCGCGGGTCGCTCTCTTTCGGTTATTTTTCTGTGTATTTTGATCTGTTGTCAATTCTCAAGTGTTGTGTTAAACTAATTAGGTACTAAATGCACCCTCGACTCAATTAATAGGTGAAACATTCAATATTTGCACCTGCATTAAAAAACGATCTAATTTAACCTCTCATTTGAATTTCAGACTATTCTCAAAGGACAACATGTTTGTTTTAGTGGATGTAGCGACTAGTAAGCAATAACATTTTGTCTTTAAGTATATTATTTACTGATTTATTTTTGTATGTAAAGATTCGCAGTTTGGATTGCGGGAAGATGTGCCTCTTTACATAGGGAAAGAAAAATGCTGCTACCAGTCATTTGTTCTGCAATCACACAGAGTGTATAAAATGCGCCAAAGTTGTTGTGAAGGTAAGAAACCTCCAATTTTGCCGTTTATTACTGATGAAAATGCTCTTTTCTACAGAATAGCAATGCTTACATAACAGACATGGGCTCAAGGCATCGCACTTCTGTTATCGGCGTGGTATTGCCGCCCCTGGAAGAAAAACAGCTCATTCCAGGCAATTCGTTCTGCATTGGTAAAAACCGCGACAGATTACTGTAAGTATAAACCACATTTCTATACTTTTATATACTTATTCATGTCTTGTTTAGACTGCAGTACATCAGTCTCACAGTCACCTGCTCGGGTTTTGGCATAGGAGGCAGCCGCTCCCTGGAGGAATTGCTAGGTAAACAAGGCGCCAGAGTAGTGAAGGACTGGGGACCGGACGTGACGCACGTTCTCGCCACCGGAGACATTCTCACCAAGAAAGTGGTTTGCGGTTTGATCGCGCAGCAGTTTGTCGTGGGCCCGGAATTCTTCCATAGTCGCTGGAGGGCCATCACCGAAGGTGAGCCGCTGCCGGATGCTGACAAGTACAAAGTGCGCAATTACGGCTATCAATGTCCACTGCAAGTTAACCATTCATGTGATCGCAAGCGTCTGTTCGCCAACAAGATCGCCATCTTTGATGATTCCGCCCTAAAGAGAAGTTATGGGGATATCATAGAGATGTGCGGTGGTGAGGTTAGGACTCTGGATGATGGCGATATAATCGCAGAGGTAATATATTATACAACACAACAAAAATGCATTTAATTATAATTTTTATTTGTAATATTTTAGGATTTCCGAGGCGAGCGTGACATAATGGTTTTCGTCACTGGCGGGCTTGTCAAATCCGGGCGCAAGCGCAGACTGATGGAGATTGTCAAGTCGCTCGGACGACGCTGCATCCCAGTGCAGGAGATAGCCACGGCCGTGTTGAGTGGCAACACTGAGTTCTTCTGCAACAGCAAACATCTTATGATGGATACACTTCGCAATGCTCAAAAACTCACCTCGATGGGGGATGAATTGGTAGATGATACTCAGAGCACGACTGGCTCGCAATCGCGCAAGCGCAGAAACCCATCGACTGCTGGTTCGAGCATGTACACAGAGAATCCGATTCCGTCAAGTACTAGTGCCGGCGTTCGTGTACAACCATCACAACCGCCTGAGCCACTGCCACAATGGGCTAAAGATATGCTAGGCATAAGAGATCCAGGTGATCCTGAACCGGAACCTAAACCAAGCACAAGCACACAAAGCCCGGTTACACGCCTAAAAGGCCTCAAGCGTCGACGAGCCTCCGGTGACACTGAAACGCCTCCAACTGCTTTGCTAAAAAGCTTGAGTGTCGAACCGGAAAAGCCGCAACCCGCACCACCGACACCTCCGCCATTACCCGAGTTGCCGCTGTCATCCACAAACCTGAAATTAAAGCAAAGCGCTAAAGGTTGCAAACATCCTCAGCCACGACAAGCGAAAACTTCCGAAGACTCAAAGGAGAACATACCGTTTGCATCTACGCATCCATTTTCGCATAACCAACAACAGTAAATCATCATCATCATTGTTGACATGCGCAGATGTTTGATTACATTGTGAGATTTCTTTAAAGATTGCACACCTCTTCTCCAGGCACAAAACTGACGCTGAAACGCAAGAACAAGGTGGACGATGGTAGCACAAGTGTCCAAAAGCGGCCGAATCTGGCTGCGACCATACCGTCGTTTCCTGCTGCCCCGGAACCGAGTAAGCCAATCATCCACGAGATTCAATCACCATCGAAGCCGTGCGATGGGACAAAGCAAAAAGTTCCGAAAGGTAAGTGGAAACTTTGCTTATTTCAGGGATATATTTTCTGTTTTTGTTTTTCTTCTTCCACAGCAAAATTTGGTTAAAACAATGATACCAAAGGTTACTATGCGTCGCGTCGTTACAAATTCAAACTCTGGTTAAATAAAAATGGTTACATTCGCTGTGGTTTCGAAACAAATCGAAAATTTTCCAAAAAAAAAGCATGTAATACGAAACAGTCGAATGTAAAATTAAACGTTATTAATGGCATAAGTTTATTTCTGTGTTTTCATTTTAATATTTGTTTCTGTTTCTTCGTATCACACACGTTATTAAACTACAATAACATTTTTCATCGCTAGTGAGAATTATTTACAATCGCTTTTTTTCACCTAGCATATAACAATGAGAGTGCATTACCCTGCGCGTTTCTACAAAATGATTATTAACTGTGGTGAACATTGCTTCTGAACAGACTTAAAAGTAAAACGATAGAATAGCCGCGTGGAAGTACGAGTACAGTATGTGATTAATAAGAATTATTGAATGATTAATCGCCGTTAGTACAAGTTTGATTGCTTGCGAGAAGATGGGAATTAAAAGCGCACTTCGTGAACATCTAAGAGAAAATAAATATGTATCAATTCGATGACAAACGTAGGAAACTTAAAACGTAAATTAAAACATTGTGTATATATGTCGCTAAAATATCGGCAAACTCTATGCTAAGAAGGACACTCGACGGCCTAGGCCTATGGCGTTAGTGACTACGATAAAACCGCATTAATATAATCCGGTGGTGGATGATTGGGGAGGAGGATTGGTGTTTCGTTTGTGGAGCGCCGCTAGGACAGCGCGCACGAATCTCAGGAGGACGGCGGGGGCGCCGCGTCGGGCAGATCGAGCACGGTGGCGACGAAACCGATCACGTCGGCGGTGCGTTCGCGGTGCAGCGCGCAGAATGGATGCTCCAGCAGTTGCTCGTAGTTGCAGCGCTGGACGACGCTCTTCTGCAGGCAGGCGGCGATGAACGACTCGAATTCGGCGGTGAATTGCCCTGGCGGTAGACGCGGCGGGTCGTCTTTGACGACCTGCTTCAGCTGCTCGAATGGTGTGCCCCACATTGGGTACGGAAAGCGACCAGTGGCGAGTTCAATCAGCGAAATGCCCAGACTCCAGACATCCGAGCGGATATCGTACGTTGATGGATCACCAGTCGGATCAATTCTCTCCGGCTAAGAGAAAATTTAAAAACATCAAGTAAGTTGGTTTTGTTTAACTTTTAAAATTGTTAATTGTGTGTACCGCCATGTATGGTTTACAGCCAGCGTCGATTGTCTTCGCTACAGAGTCGACAAGATATCCACTAATGCCAAAGTCGCACATTTTGACCTCACCGCGTCGATTGATCAAGATATTCGACGGTTTGACATCGCGATGGATCACCTGCAGATTGGTGTGGAGGTAATGCAGCGCGCAGACGACCGCAAGCGTGATTTTACCCAAAATATCCTCTGGTATCCTCAGTCCGTGATTGTACACTTTCTGATAAAATTTATCCAGGCTAGTATCCATTACCTAAGAATAAGAAATAAGACATTTTATAATGTTTATTAAATCTATGGTGATGCTACATGCATGAGAAATATTGTGATGAGTGAAAGTGCATGCATTAAATCTCTCAGGGTTTGTTATCAAAATGACATAACCTATGTGTTATCAATCAATTGTTTGCAAACCTCCATGCACATCCAAACGTCGCCCTCGCGAAATAGAGCGCC